CAAGTGTGTTACAGTCTTTAACCACGTCACATCTTGTCACATTAATATTTTAAGACAATTAAAAATGAAAGCATTTCTTACTGATTACCATCTGACATGTTAAGGACCAAAACAATAAAATTAAGGTTTTAGTTAAACTTCTAAATTTAAAAAAAATATATATATATTTTTTTACAAACATAAAGAGACCATAGGCACACAATTTGTGTATTTTTAGCTTCAGTCCCATAAAAATGTGAAAATTTTGATAAATGTTATATTTGTTATTATTAAATTGCTATGAGGGACACATGAGCATTAGGTTGATGTTTGTTTTATAACAAATTCAAAATTATTTTTTAAACAATCCCATTTTGTCTGTCACGGGGTTGAGAATAAAAGGTGTCTAAATCTGAAAAAAACCTGAAAATAATAAAAGATCTTTAATGCCTGAGGTGGGAAAATATGATTTTTTTGGAGGTTTGATATGTGCCTAATGATGTGGGGTATTTAGAAAATGAATCATATGTAGTATCATAGGTATGTGGGTCAAAGACGTTAAGATGTCCGCATCAAAAGAAATGTACAAAAGTGATTTTATGTCCACAGAAAGCACATTAAATGTAAGTAAAGTGTCTACTTTTAAGGTTTCAAATATGTTTTTGGAGAATAAAATGTCAGAATTTGGTTGAAATAATGTTACACTGTCATTCCGTGTAACACAATATTTAAACATTCAAACAACATGCTTATTCTGACCTGTACATATTAAAATATATAAAAGAATAAGGGAGCATATTAAATTTGATTGTGTTATAAATGAGTTTAAAAAAATTACTGACAAATGGGCAAAACCTAGGATAGTGGCAAATTTAAAAAATGTAAAATAACAACTAATTAGTATTTGAGGTGAAAGTAATTAGTCTGTTAATATGTCGTAAATTTATTTTTGTTGTAAACATGCCTGACAAGATTGTTACACTGAATGACATTTTAGTGCGTCTCTTCTGTAAATCAGGGGAAAATGTATGATATTTATTTTTTGCTCAGAAACACAAAAACAAAATTGCAATTAAATTAAACCGAATTTTTTTTCAATGAAAATTAGAAACGTTGCTTTATATATATATATATATATATATATATACAGTATATACAGTATATATATAGTTGAATGCAACTGTGTGAATTCTAAAAATTACATTACAATCAATTAATCTGTCTATTATCTTCGGACGGGATTAGTTGGAGTAATGTAATTTTACAACAGGATGTCTGTAATATTAATGGCCAATTTGCAATGGATAAGAAATCTTAGTAAAACTACCAGAAGTGGGAGGAGTAACTCGATTTACGCACACCGCCACTTTTCTGTCGTCAATGATCCTATTTACAGGAAATATTTCATATATTTCATGTGATATCAGGAAGCAATGTGGCACACCACACGGCTTCCTGTGCATACCACGTTGCTTCCTGATAGGCCCACAACATTAAAGATCCAGCAGAACATTTCATTGTGCACATGGGGTACTTCTTTACTCCTGTGTGCACCAAACCCATCTTGAGTGTTTGCTGCTAAAAAGCTCATTTTTTAGTTTCATCTGACCGTAAAACACAGTCCTGTTTGAAGTTCCAGTCGTGTCTGGCAAATTAACATGCTGGAGTTTATTTTTGCATGAGAGCGTTTTCTTTTTTTTTTTTTTCATGAAACCCTCACAAACAACATGTGCTGATGTAGGGGCTGTTTGATCTTTTTTTGTAGGCTTTCTGACCTCAAGACATTTTCTGCAGTTCTCCAGTCTGTAGCAACTCAAACTATCCTCCTCACCTTGGTTTAAGACAAAATAGACCCACATCCTCTTACAAGCAGATTTGTAATATGTGACCCTGGACCACAAAAAAGGCACTTTTTTTGGTCTTAAAGGCACAACATGTAAAGGCGGGAGAGGTAATATACAACAACAATTTAAAGCAATATTACACTTATTGTTTTTATGCTTAAACACTTTTTCGTCTTTGACCCATGTATATTTCAAGTTGAAATGTTACAGAATTATATATATTATATTATATATATTATATATATATAGTTGAATGCAACTGTGTGAATTCTAAAAATTACATTACAATCAATTAATCTGTCTATTATCTTCGGACGGGATTAGTTGGAGTAATGTAATTTTACAACAGGTTGTCTGTAATATTAATGGCCAATTTGCAATGGATAAGAAATCTTAGTAAAACTACCAGAAGTGGGAGGAGTAACTCGATTTACGCACACCGCCACTTTTCTGTCGTCAATGATCCTATTTACAGGAAATATTTCATATATTTCATGTGATATCAGGAAGCAATGTGGCACACCACACGGCTTCCTGTGCATACCACGTTGCTTCCTGATAGGCCCACAACATTAAAGATCCAGCAGAACATTTCATTGTGCACATGGGGTACTTCTTTACTCCTGTGTGCACCAAACCCATCTTGAGTGTTTGCTGCTAAAAAGCTCATTTTTTAGTTTCATCTGACCGTAAAACACAGTCCTGTTTGAAGTTCCAGTCGTGTCTGGCAAATTAACATGCTGGAGTTTATTTTTGCATGAGAGCGTTTTCTTTTTTTTTTTTTTCATGAAACCCTCACAAACAACATGTGCTGATGTAGGGGCTGTTTGATCTTTTTTTGTAGGCTTTCTGACCTCAAGACATTTTCTGCAGTTCTCCAGTCTGTAGCAACTCAAACTATCCTCCTCACCTTGGTTTAAGACAAAATAGACCCACATCCTCTTACAAGCAGATTTGTAATATGTGACCCTGGACCACAAAAAAGGCACTTTTATTTCATAATGTGATTCTCCCCCACTTTCACTTTTTTTTAAACCAATTAAAGGTTAGATTTTTTTTTTATATTTTGAATGAAAGATCAAATGGATAAACAATGCAGACTTATTTTCACAGCCCTCTTTTATCATATTTACCAAGGGTATGAATAATTTCATACATGTTTAAAACATAAAACAATATAGGCCTATATAAAATGAATAAAATAGTCCTAAACAAAATGTATTTCTCTTAAATAATTGACATTAATAAAACCCCCCCAAAAAACTGTGCGCCACAAGTTTAAGGAAACCGAGAAGACTGAAAGCGCACCCTATTAGTTTTCTTTATTTAACAAAAGCATAATGTTTTATTTTTATTGTGAGTGTATGCATATAAAAGTGGAGCGTTTACAGTAAAGGAAAAAATCCAAGCGATCGCGCCGGAGCCTCTTGAGGGAAACGTTTGTATTCGTGCCAAATGAGAGATGTATAAAGTTGCGTTTCAGTTTCTCTTTAAATAAATCCATTTTGGCTAGACTTTTATATGTTATTTATAACGAATGCCATCATACTTTGTGTTTTATTGTATAATTTGTATATATGAATTTGTACTATAATTTTATAGCTGCTTATATTTTCAGATTTTTATGTTCCTCTGTTCTGAATACTGTAAAATTGAAAGGATTTGTGGACAACTTTTGTTTTTTCTCTTAACACAATTTTGTCTGATATGTGTATAGCAGATTCCTTTTAAATCCATGCAGCAAATGTTATATAAAATAGCTTGAAAAATTACTTTATTGCATTACAGGTGCTTTAAGAACTTTTCACTGTAACTTTTATGGGTAGCTTAAATGTAAAAGATGGAAGCTCTAATCATCAAAATTAAAACAAAACCACATGTAATGAAACTGTGAAGTACACGAATATTGACACATACAGAGCACACAGGCTCTCAGTAGTGCTCAAAGGTATAGTTGTGAAAATCTATTTATAAATATAAAATTGATCTTTTCAATAACCCAAAAGATTGCAAGTATAACTAAATTGACTATCAGTTACAGTATGTTGTATTAAGGCACAGAGTTGCACTAGTGCAGATGCTGAACACTTTCATTTCTCAACTGTCTGTGATCCTGTAAGGCACTTTGTTTGATTTCCAAAGCCAAATAAATAATAATCTGTCCAACGGTACTATATTCACGCTCATGAGGTGATCACAGGTCATAACTGTGCTTATGAAAATAATCAGGCGTCCATTAACACCACAGACAAAACACAAATAATCTGAAAAAAATGAAAATGAAAATGTGCTCACCCTCAAGATCAGGATGAGTGTGTTTCTTCATCAGGTTTGTAGAAATGTAGCACTGCATCAGTGTCTCAGCAATGGATGCTCTGCAGTGAATGGGTGCCGTCAGAATGAGAGTCTGATAAAAACATCACAATAATCCACAGCACTCCAGTCCATCAGATAACATCTGGAGAAGACAAAAGCTGAAACTAATCCAGCATTAAGCTGTTTTTAACTCAAATACATTGAGTCATAATCCATAATAACGCTTCCTCCAGTGAAGAAGTGTTCTGGTGTGAATCAGGAGAGAGATCTGCACAGATCAAGCAGCGTTTAAACAGCTCTAAACACCAGAATGATCCGATACACATTTTATCAAATGTTACTTATTCCATGTGATTCGGCAATAATCTGCAAATGTATTTTCATCAACAGAGCAGTGTAAATAATGATCTTCAGGATGACAAACTGATCGACTGTACAACAAAGCTTGCGGCCTTTTAATACACAAACACTTGGACATACAGTATATTCTGTAGCTGCACATATGATTGCAATAATTTCCTTTTGCCACATTTATCCCTTCATATATGTCACTTATATTAAATAACACAATGGCAACAAAAAAATCAAATTAAATGACATTCACTTCTGTTAACCATAATGAAGGCACATTAATCCAGCAGTGAAGTACACAAATATTGACACATACAGAGCACACAGGCTCTCAGTAGTGCTCAAAGGTATAGTTGTGAAAATCTATTTATAAATATAAAATTGATCTTTTCAATAACCCAAAAGATTGCAAGTATAACTAAATTGACTATCAGTTACAGTATGTTGTATTAAGGCACAGAGTTGCACTAGTGCTACATTTCTACAAACCTGATGAAGAAACAAACTCATCCTAATCTCGGATGGCCTGAGGGAGAGTAAAATGTACATTTTTGCATGAATTACTCCTTTAAATGAATAACTCGCCTAAAAAAAATTTCTGTGGAACACAAAAGCAGAAATTTTGAAGATCTGATGTTTATGCATCTGTATGCGGTTAATGCATAATATCTGAACGCAAACGCGAATATGATACTTTCATGCTTTAATAATAAAACCACAATGTTTCTTTATGCGTTGCACTGAAAGATAGCAACACAAGGATTTTTAAGGACATGAGGGTGAGTGAATAATGGAAAAAATATCAGGTGCATGTAAGAAACGTAGAGTCAGTCACTATAGCTTTCCTTTCCGTAATAAATATTAAATACTAGGCCTACAAATAAAATAGCAATAACCGAACAATACATGAGTTTCTTTGGCTGATACAGTCATGAATGTAAACGGTGGGTTTCTCATTGCATGTGGTCCGTCTGCAGCTGCTGCGGTTGATACTGAGCGAATGCGGCCGCCGCGGATCCAGGTGATGCCAGAGGCTGCTGGACATAACCGTATCCGGTCGCAGAGGCCGGCGAGGCGGCGTACGGATACGGATCGCTGTACTGTGCGTACGCAGCAGCGGTGTAGTCCAGGTACGGAGATGCCGCGGCCGAGGGGTCGTGAGGGATCACCACGCTGGGCTGCACAAACGCCTGCGGATACACATAGTGAGCGGGAATCCTGAGGAACACAGAGATCACGAGATTCAAACAGAGAAACAGCGCAGTGCACTGCAGGGTTAGTAACCCTAACTAATCCTCACTCACATCCATAGGAGTGCCACAATAGAGCATGCTGGGAAGAGTCAATCAGAAGGTTCACAACTGCATGGCTGTTTTGAACAGGTTGTATTATTGAGTCACTGCAGATTTAAAAAAAAAATATATATATATATATACACACTAATGGGCTTCATTCATTAAACACCAGCAGAATGAATTTGTGTAAATCATTCTTTTTAAAAAATTTTTACAGAAATGATCACATTCAATTTAATGCATTAAATGTATTATTATGTGTGACACTGTACCACAAAGCCAGTCATAAGTGCCAATTTTTTTGAAACTGATATTTATACATCATGCATGGTTTGTTAGGATAGGACAATATTTGGTCGAGATACAACTATTTGAAAATCTGGAATCTGAGAGTGCAAAAAAATCTAAATATTGAGAAAATCATCTTTAAAGTTGTTCAAATGAAGTTCTTAGCAATGCATATTACTAATCAAAAATTAAGTTTTGATATATTTACAGCAGGAAATTTACAAAATATCTTCATGGAACATGATCTTTACTTAATATCCTAATGATTTTTGGCATAAAAGAGAAATGTATAATTTTGAGCCATACAATGTATTGTTGGCTATTGCTACAAATATCCCCCAGCGACTTAACACTGCTTTTGTGCTGCAGGGTCACATATTATTATTATTATATAAATATATTATTATATTATTAATATAATATACATATTACATTTTATTAATTATTTATTCATTCAAGATGGCGTATCCACAGGTTTCTATTTTATATTGATAATTTTTTTAATATTTTATGTTTTTTTTAATTGAACTGAAACTTGAATTGAACTGAATTTGACTGAATATGCGAAGGTCACAAATCTGTCTTGTAAACTTTTTACTGGTTTTCCTTTTTATATAAATGTTATTGTATAAACCTTTTTTTTAATTAAACTGAAACTTGTATCGAATTTAATTGAATATATAAAGGTCTCCGTTAATCTGTCTTGTGAACTTTTACCTGTTTTAAATTTTTTCTATTTAGATTTTATTGTTGAACTCAATTTTTTACTGTTATTTCCTTTCTTGTCCAGTGGAAATGTGTCTTTGGCTTCACAACACATTATAACAAGACCAATACACTTAAAGCACTTAACACAACAACTCTTTAAAAAAATAATTTTGTTTGAAATCTAAAAATGGTTTTAATTTAATTGAAACCTGAATTTAATTTAAATCAATTAAATTTAATATTGAATAGATTTTTTTATGAATTACAAGTAAATAATTCTGGTTTGTTAAGGAGAAAACAGTGATAATTACATTTATACTTCAGCTAAGATATGAAATTTGAAGAAAACAGAAAAATCAAGGTAAATATTACTTGAGAACAGAATATTTTAAACATGTCTAATCCATTGCATATTGTTTGCATAAGTAAAATTGAGCAAAAAGTGTTAAAATATTATTTAACTGTGGATTTAAGATAAATTTGCCCAAATACGAGAAAACTGTTATTCCAAAATGTCCATTTCCAGCACAGAAGGGATGATTTAAGACACAGTATGTCCACTGTTAGACATCGTTATACAAATGAAATTAACTAGAGTGAGTGAGTGAGTGTGTAAACTGTTTAAGAGAGTTTATGTTATCATGAACAAAGTGCCCATAGTTTTAGATTTCTGAATGATTCACACAGACATTCATTCTGCTTATAATTCACGAATGAAGCCTGATTGGTGAATCACAGCTCACTTCTTCTTCCAAAATGTCCATTTCCAGCACAGAAGGGATGATTTAAGACACAGTATGTCCACTGTTAGACATCGTTAGACAAATGAAATTAACTAGAGTGAGTGAGTGAGTGTGTAAACTGTTTAAGAGAGTTTATGTTATCATGAACAAAGTGCCCATAGTTTTAGATTTCTGAATGATTCACACAGACATTCATTCTGCTTATAATTCACGAATGAAGCCTGATTGGTGAATCACAGCTCACTTCTTAACGAGGATTCAGATCAATGCTTTTGCATTATTGATATCATGGCAAACCTATTTCATTTGGAAACTCAGCATTCAATTATGAGTTTTCGTCATATTATTGTCTAACTAACCCCACACACAAATGGCAATGAATATCAAAGCAGATCGATCAATATCACAGCAGGAAAAAAAAACCTTCCAAAAAAAAGAAAGAAAGAAAACACACTCACACGCGCACACACACTCACACACACACTCTCTCTCACACACACACATACACTCTCTCTCACACACTCTCTCTCTCTCACACACACACATACACTCTCTCACACACACACACACTCACACACACACACACACTCTCTCTCTCACACTCTCACACACACACATTTGAAGTGTGGAAGAGAAATAAGAGTGGAAATCTGCTGCTTCTGTTTGCTGCTGTGCTGAATGGAAAATAAGCAGTGTTTTCTGCATCTTTACACTGCATAGGCGGCATATGAAGTTGCATTTGAAGTACAGCAAATAAGTAAAATACATTTCACCCCAAAATCGAAAGAAAAACAAAAGATAAAAAACTGACTTAAAATAAAATAAAAAATTTTTTTTTTTGAGGAACTGGAAAGGTATATGTGCTGAATCACGCAAATAATGTCACAATGAATAAAATAAAATAAAATTATAAATGAAAATAAATGAAAATAAATAAAAATACAAAATAATTATTTTGAGGAACTGGGATGGTAAATGTGCTGAGTCACACAAATAAATGTCACAATAAATAAAAATAAAATAAAATAGGAAAATAAAATAAAAATAATAAAATAAAATAAATGTGGGTAAATGTGCTCAGTCCCGCAAATAATGCCGTAATGCAAAAATACACTTAAACAAACAAATAAATATGAAAATAAATATTGAAAGTTGATTTTTGTGCACAGCTGTCATTAAACAGGACACACGCTTAATTTCAGGACAGTGGAAATTCACTGCACTGTCACAAACATTCTTCATCTTTTAATCATTCTGCATGGCCTTCTATGAGTTCATGAGTCTCACACAGACCTTTGACTTCGCCATTGCAGCTATAACGGCTAAAATTGCGTACAGAACCTTTAATTTTACAGCTGTAAAGACGCCTGAAGTCTTGGAAAGTTTAAAGATGTTTAATATCTGAGCGTCTAGCAGCACCAAACAAACTGCAAAAATAATCACAGTCAAGACCCGTCTGTGTTGCCGGGCAGATTTGCTCAGTATTTCTCCCAGACGTGCAAAAACAACAGGTGCTGGAGTTAAACGTGTCCACAGATGAGCTGCGAGTCTGGAGAGTGACAGTGCTGCGCCGCTGTTAATAAAGGAACACATGGCCTGAGACTTTAACTCAGTCCCGAACACACAGAACGCATTACTGCGCTCCACAATACAAAACTAACTAGTTCTTTCGATTACACTGATCATTGCTTTACTAGAGGACTTGCATGAAGTATTTATAGAAGCTTAATAAAAATATTAAAAAAGCTTGTGACTTTTTGTCTCACCTTTTAGATTTTTCTTCTTAGATCTCGCAATTCTGCTTTTTTTCCTACTACAGAATAAAAAAATAAAAAGTTAATTGTGACTTTTTAATCTCACAATTTTCTCGGAATTCAGAGTTTACATCTCGCGATTTTGACTTTTTTCTCAGAATTCGCATTTTATATCCTGATTTTTTCCATTAGAATTCTAAAATTACATCTTGCAATTCTGACTTTTTTCTCAAAATTTAGAGCTTACACCTCATAATTCATTTTTTCCCTCTGAATTATAAAATTACATCCCACAATTCTGAATTGTTTTCTCAAAATTCAGAAATTACATTTCATAATTCTGACTTTTTTTCCCCTCGGAATTACATTTCATAATTCGGACTTTTTCCTTAAAATTCAAAAATTACATCTCGTAATTTTGACGTTTTTGAATTCTAACATCACATTTCATAATTCTGACATTTTTCTCAAAATCCTAAAATTCTTAGGTTGGCAATTCTGAGAAGTCTCAGAATTGATATAAACTCAGAGTTAAGAGAAAAAAGTCAGACTTGTGAAAAAAAAAAAAACACAATTATATTTTATATAGTTAAAACATATTATTTTATAGCTTCCATAAATATATAACCATTTTTCTATGAATAAATAGATTTTGCTCATCCAGAAAATTAGATGAGATTTAACACAACATATCATTATGAATGTGGTGTCAAATATAACCTAACCCTGAGCCCCGAGCGTGTCATTGTTAAAAATACCCCCGTTACTAAGCTGCAGCGGCAACTTTCTTACTACAAACATATTTTCAACCTTCATGTCCTGAACATTTGGGGGTTGCCAGAGTTCAGGCTAATTTAAGCTATTGTAAATCACAGAAACAGAGGGCTGATCTCTGGTGTCGCTGAACACCTGTTGTCTTGCGCTGCAGCTGCTCCTCTCTGCACTGAATCTGTGGATCGGTCAGCTGTACTGTGAGCACATTAACACACACGTCTAGCTATGCTAACATTAGAATGCAATGCATAACATCTGTTACATTCTGTACTACATCAACTATATTTAACTAAAACAAGAACCATAAAACCGTTTCAGTACTTGAAATAAAATATAAAAATATTTTAATATATAAAACCCTTACATTTTTATTTTAGTTCATAACTATATTGTCATATATATATATATATATATAAACTAATAAAAATGACAAACAACACACAAAAAAAAAACCAAAGTATCCTGATCATAAATCCTAAACTTCAACTGAAATAAAATAAAATATATTTATATTATTTACTTTATATTATGATGTTATTTTATTTTAGCTGGTTGTCAAGGCACCATTTCTCATTTTCACTTAGTCAAACTTTATGTACGAAAATTATTAAAGCTGAAATTCAAATGAAAAAAAACCAAAACAAAACATTTAGACATATTTATAAATTAAAAACGAATAAAAAAAAAACACAAAAAACAGCAAATCTACTAATACGTCAACAAAACTTGAAATTAAAACAGAAAATATTAAATAAAAACTCATTCAAAATATTTACTAAATAAAACTACAATAGTATAAACTTTAACTGAAATTAAATAAAATATAAAAAAAACAAACATGTCTCATTATGCATCAACTTGACGTACTAAAGTAACTAAAACTGAATTAAAAAATTTATAAAAACATAGAAATATGAAAAAATAATAATAAAAATGACAAAAATAACATTTTTAAATTTAACAAAACTTCAAATAAAAAAAAAATTATTAAAGCTGAAATTCAAATGAAAAAAAACCCAAAACAAAACATTTAGACATATTTATAAATTAAAAACGAATTAAAAAAAAACACAAAAAACAGCAAATCTACTAATACGTCAACAAAACTTGAAATTAAAACAGAAAATATTTAATAAAAACTAATTCAAAATATTTACTAAATAAAACTACAATAGTATAAACTTTAACTGAAATTAAATAAAATATTAAAAAAACAAACATGTCTCATTATGCATCAACTTGACGTACTAAAGTAACTAAAACTGAATTAAAAAATTTATAAAAACATAGAAATATGAAAAAATAATAATAAAAATGACAAAAATAACATTTTTAAATTTAACAAAACTTCAAATAAAAAAAATTAAATATAAAAACAAAAACTCATTCAAAATATGAATAATATTGAATAATAATAGTGGTACCACCACAGGAATTTTAATTATAAATATACCAGAAAACAGTAATAAAACCGTGACATAAACAGTTAAATCAATTCACAATGAACTGTTTTATTAATTATTCTCCAAGAACTTCATGTTATTGCCTCATTAAGAGGAATTGCTTGTATTCCTTCTTTATAAGGAATATTTTAGACTAATGAATGCTAAATGAATGAACGTAAATGTTTGCACTTATCATTAGAGTTTTGAGACTTTAGTTTAGAAATATGTTAACAGCAAACTCTCAAAATCAATTGAATGAGTCACTTGTTATCTGTAAGAAGACAATACAGAATGCATTACCTGACGTCTATTTTACACAAAGAGGTTTTGGGGAAAAAGAAGAATCACTAAGAAGCAAAGATAAATGAATTATTAGTAGAATTTAAAAAACAGAGGCACAAGATACACAGCAACATGCGAGCCGTGAGTAATCTTGTTTTGAGGGAAACCGTGAGCCCTTCAGCAACAAAACACCGCACCGCCGGTTCAAATGAATAGAAAATAAACCAAACAAGCTGTGCACAATCATCAAATGAATCCCCACGTCCTACCGTACACTCGTTTCTATTAAAGCACACGGTTTAGCTATACAACCACTTCAGACCCAAACGCACAGCAAAGCGCCCGCTCCAAAAACAACGTCCATGCACGCTAATCACCATCGGGTTCGAGTCTACTGAATTCTGACTTCTCAGAATCTTCAGCTCTTAGGTTTCGTTAACCGAACGCGAGCCTGTCAGATCAAAGATAGAGACACAGCACATGGAGAGAGAGACTTTTCCAATAAAACACAGGTTTAAAAAAAAAACCTCATACCTCATAACCTGGCGGAAAGGAGGAGGATACAGTAATGGGGAATGATCATCCTCACTATCTCTGCGACACAAGGAGAACAACAGCTTATGACACAGGAGTCACAGAAATCAACACAGATATCCTTTATGGAATATTGCAGCATGTAGGAATGTGATACTGTAATTTATCTTTAAAGGTGAAGTGCGTCATTTTCAAATTCGAATCAAGCTATGAATTGTTTACTTCCAGCGACTCTTCGGATGTGATACAACAATGCATACAAATGACACACAACACCTCTAAAGCAATGCAATGGTAAAAACTGGTCTAGGATGACAACATGCCATCTTTTCCAATATCATATTTTTACATTAGAAAATGTAGATAAATGAGAGGATGCTTAAAGGAATAGTTGACCCAAAAATGAAAATGTGCTCACCCTTGTAGCATTGCATCAGTGTCTCAGCAATGGATGCTCTGCAGTGAATGGGTGCCGTCAGAATGAGAGTCTGATAAAAACATCACAATAATCCACAAGTAATCCACAGCACTCCAGTCCATCAGTTAACATCTGGAGAAGACAAAAGCTGAAACTAATCCAGCATTAAGACGTTTTTAACTCAAATACATTGAGTCTATAATCCATAATAACGCTTCCTCCAGTGAAAAAGTGTTCTGGTGTGAATCAGGAGAGAAATCTGCACAGATCAAGCACCGTTTAAACAGCTCTACACACATATGTGGCTGGATTTTGATGCGAGAGACAACAGCAGATGCACTTTTTCACTGGAGGAAGAGTTATTATGGATTATAGACTCAATGTATTTGAGTTAAAAACATCTTAATGCTGGATTAGTTTCAGCTTTTGTCTTCTCCAGATGTTCACTGATGGACTGGAGTGCTGTGGATTATTGTGATGTTTTTATCAGCTGTTTGGACTCTCATTCTGACGGCACCCATTCACTGCAGAGCATCCATTGCTGAGACACTGATGCAATGCTACATTTCTACAAACCTGATGAAGAAACAAACTCATCCTAATCTCGGATGGTCTGAGAGAGTCATTTTTGGGGTATTTTTATTTTTGGGGTAGCTATTTTTTAAGAACTAATTCAAACAACACAAACAATATACAGTCATCAATAGTCTTGTTACACTTACCCATAAGGCCGTTGGATAAACGTAGGGTGTATTTGAGGGACACCAAATGAAAAGCCTGTGAAAAACACAGTCTTATAGCATTTATTTATTTTTATATTTAAATAATACAAGAAAACACATATGTGACCCTGGAGCACAAAACCAGTCGCTGGGGGATATTTGTAGCAATAGCTAACAATACATTGTATGGGTCAAAATGATAGATTTTTCTTTTATGCCAAAAATCATTAGGATATTAAGTAAAGATCATGTTCCATGAAGATATTTTGCAAATTTCCTACCGTAAATATATCAAAACTTAATTTTTGATTAGTAATATGCATTGCTAAGAACTTCATTTGGACAACTTTAAAGATGATTTTCTCAATATTAAAATTTTTTTGCACCCTCAGATTCCAGATTTTAAAATAGTTGTATCTCAGCCAAATATTGTCCTATCCTAACAAACCATACATCAATGGAAAGATTATTTATTCAACTTTCAGATGATGTATACATCTCAATTTCGAAAAATTGACACTTAAGACTGGTTTTGTGCTCCAGAGTCACATATAATGACCAAAATAGACATTATTTCCACAATAAAACAAGAGCAACCGGATCCTCTTACCTGGCTGCATGATCCGTGGTTTGGCCCCGAGGTACGCCAGGTTGATGTTGGCTTTCCTGCCGTCTATGATGGGGTTTGGGTCCTTACAGGCTCTTTCTGCTGCGGCTCGGTCGGCCATCGTCACCTACACATACATGATAAGACGAACAAAAACACAAATTCAGTGTTTTCAGTGATGATCCATGTGAAAACCTGAAACTAAAACCATTAAAAAATGTCATTGCTTGAAATAAAATAAACATTCAAACTTTTTAGTTCTGCTAGTAGCCAAGGACTTTTTTACATTTATTCTAATTTAGTGGACATTGATGCACTAAAATAACTAAAACTTAAATAAAAATGATAACTATATATATATATATATATGTGTGTGTGTGTGTGTGTGTGTGTGTGTATAGACAAACTACTAAAAATTACAACTAAAACTTTTCAACAGTTGTTTACTTGAAATAAAATAAACATTAACTGAAAAAAAACAACAACAACAACTAACTAGATAGATAGATAGATAAAACACACACATAGACAGACAGACAGACAGACACACACACACACACACACACACACACACACACACATATAGACAGACAGACACACACACACACACAGACACACACACACACTTATAGACAGACAGACAGACACACACACACACACATATATAGACACAGACAGACACACACACTAAAATTGCAATGAAACTGAAAATCTAAAAATAAAAAACATTCAAAATATTACTAAAAACTGTAATAGTATCTCATTACAGTATCTGATACTAAAAACTGATTATGACAGACAATAACAATCAGGGTTATTATATTTAACTAAAACTAAAATATTTTACTAAAAACTAAAACAACAGTTGTTTACTTGAAATAAAATAAACATTAACACAAAAAAACAACAACTAACTAGATAGATAGATAGATAGATAGACACACACACACACACACACACACATATAGACAGACAGACAGACACACACACATAT